CCCCAAAACCCCAAAACCCCAAAACCCCAAAACCCCTTAAACTTTAGCCAAGGTTGATATAAATAATAATTTACACAGATCTAACAAGCATGATCGACATCTCAGCATTTAATGGTAGAGAAAAAGTAGATGAGGGATTTATTCTCAGAGCAAATGATGAAGTTTCCGACTACATTCGAGACTTTATCAAAACTGGACATGACAGGACTTCCCTTGAATTAATACATGTTGAAGATAGGAAATATGGCCTTGTTCTTGGAAATATTGATGGTCTAGAACCAAATGGATACATTTATTACTGTACTCTTTGAGATCTGCCGACTATATCAGAAGCCCAGAATACTCTAGATATGAAAACTTTTAACAAGAGTGCAGATATTTCCCAAGTAATCTATGTTCATCCTAATAAAGTCTCTATTGAAGAGATTGAAGACATTGCTAGCTTTATAAAATAATGAAATGCCAGAGTTTGACCCATTCTATGAAGACCCTGATTTTCTAGAACAGCTCTATGACAGAACTTCATATAAAAAGAAGATACAGGTTGATAAGAATGATGAAAATTCTAACAAAATTTTGTAAGCCTCAAGCATCATACATAGACTCTTTGGAAACGCGATGGATGAACCAAATAATGAATTCCTACTACGGGATGGCTTAACGCCAGCTACAAAGAACATCGTAAATGTTAGATACAAGAAAGACGTCAAAGAGAACAAAGAAGACATTGCAAAAGTTGAGGAATATCTCAAAGACAACATCGACCTCGGCTTCTCCGAGAATGCAGTCGAAGAGTTGCTGACATTTGATAAGGAAGGAAATCTTGTGAAGAAAGAAACCATTCCTGACTTTGACCCTGGCCAAAGTGAAATGTACTCCAGCAACTATGAAGACCAAGATTTTAGTGTAAAAATGAAGATTTAAGAGAACTTTGTTCTTTGAGTTAGAGCTTAAATAATTATATCAAAAGAAACTAAGTAACAGTATATTAGAGATGTTTTAGGAGGAATCTGACACACAGATGTTCCCTTTTATATGTTCTCATGGAGAGTTCTAAAACATTCTCACACTAGTTCTCCAGTGAGATTTAATATATCTATACCTCTATCTCTGCTCATATGGGTCATCCTATGCTTCTATTCAGATTAATTCTTGACTTTTGGAAGAGATTCGACCCTAATTTTCAGAATGGGGCTAGTTACCAGCAATTCTCTCAGTCGTGAATTTGAACAGTTTGATTTTCAATATATGCCAAATATTTAGGGGTTTTGGGGTTTTGGGGTTTTGGGGTTTTGGGG